TAGTGTAGTGTGTGTGTGTGTGTGTGTGTGTGTGTGTGTGTGTGTGTCTTAGACACACCTCGATCATGCCAACCGAGCTTCCCACGGCCAACATGGTACCGCGCCGATTGAAACTCGCAACTTTTGCGTTCGGTATGTTCAGACATGTCTCCAATTTCTGTAATAGTGCAGACATCATGAAAACAGGTCAGAGGCACAGCTTGCTGGTAGAGTTTTAGGGTTATAGAGAAGCATAACATACACCTTACCTTCAACGATAAACATCTCATATAATTGTAGGGAATGTTATGAGATAGGCTATCATAGGATAGATAGTGAGAGATGTGAAGAAACAATAGAAGTTAGACTATATCATAAGAGATACAATGGAAAGATATCTATCGCGTGGTGGGCTACAAGCCAAGTAACGCTACAAGCAAACAACCGATAAATAGTCTAGCAACTCGTAGGTACCGAACATCACATGTCAACAGACAAACCGTTACATGTATCGTGCCAGACAGTGTGCAGCATGATAGAAACAGAACTACCTATAACCAGACTACTTACATCAGGGAAGAGCGGGGTTTTGAAGTACGTCTCTCCTGATGACATTTACGTTTCGAGTTTGATTCCAAGTCCCCAATCGCATCCCGATCGAGTATAAGTGATCCGAAGGTGTGGCAGAACGAAATACAACGTATTAATATCAAGAAGCAATCACGATTGGTTATGAATAGGGTGGGAACTCAAGAAGTGCCTAGAATCACTTTTGCCGCACAGACGATATTCTGTGATGTATTGAATATATCAAACAATATGGGAGTACTAATTGTCACTACAGATATACTGTGCTATCTCATAATTAACGTGTGTGTGGGCAATTCATATAGATATTGCGTGTGTATTTGCATATTACATATAGATATCTAAATACGGATACATATATTTAAAAGAAAGTATGTGAATCTTTACACACATTAAATAAATTTATATATAAATATATATATATATACATATATATATAC